TACAAATTTGTCTTGTGTCAAGTGTACGAAATTCAAGTCCTTTATTATTATGTCAGCAAGTCATAAAAATACAGGCATTATAAAAATCGTATGTTCAAAATTACGTTTATAGTTTGTCATCACATAATTTTTTTTTTTATATAAAATACCAAATGGGTTTTATTGTTAGGGCTTTTCATTAAAATCACTTAAATAGTTAAATACAAACATTTTTAGATAAATTATAAAAATTGACTAATAAAATTAATGTATTCTTCTATCACTAATACATCGATTATAATTATATAAATATATAATATAATCTATATGGACTATATACTCTATATTAACATCATGCATGTAATTGAAAATATTAAAATTAGGCATTCTTATGAAAATATATACCAAATACCATAGCAGATATAAATATTAAATTACTTTTCAGGCTTCTGTTACATTTTATAAATTTATAATATAGTATTATTTTAACTAAAATTTCTGCTGTTGCATTTATTTAGGAATAATAATTAAAAAAAACAATGAGAAAATTAGTTATTTTACTTGTAAATATCTTATTTAAACAAAATTTAAACATCAAATGCACATAAAAATGTTGTTTTGAATGTAACATCAAATCATCATATATAAATATAATATATATTCATCGTTCCGCTTAGAATCTAAAAATGGTGTCCCCAAAACTTAATCAAAAAAATAAATAAATAAATAAATATTGTTTAATATGTCTTATAAAACATAAGACTTTTTAAGATAATATTGAAACTACAAGATAAAGTAATATATCACACAGACATATCTCCTCCTTATATTATTTCCGTACAGATATTTGTCCCAATTCCACTAAAATTATTCTATATATTTTGAAAACTTCACTGCAAATATAGCAAAATTTATAATATACATTAACATTATAAGTCTCCACGAATGTTTTTGAATTTTAACGAAATAATTAACATCATGGTTAATCATCATTTATCTATAAAAAATAATTGTATTTATACTTTTTATATTTTTTGATCTCAATATGAACTATATAAAACCGTCCTAGTATTAATTTTTTTTATTTTAACTATGAAAATTTAAAATTTTATAAATTTTTAACTCTAAAATAATATTTCTTGATTTTAAATAATTTCGATAAAATTTGAACATCAAATGCTTTTTAAAAAAAATTATGAGTTTGTAATTTTAAATAATATTTTTTTTGTTTATTTTATGTGTTTAATTCCACGAGTGATATTTTTATAGGATATAAAACCAATTAAATGAACAAAATATATAATATGTATATATATATTTTTTTTCATTAAAAATGATTGTTATATTTACTAGAAAGGAAAATGGTAAATTAAATCCTTCATTCTTGTTGTTTCTCCTCTCATATTAATTTGATGAAACAATGAATAAAATATTTCATAGCAGCGTTTTAAGTTTTATTGTAAATGGATATTAAACTATTGTATTACCAATAAATTTATTATAGAACAAATATAGTTTAATTGTCAATAAATGAAACGTATAACAAGTATATAAATATTATTTACTACCCTATTAAATGTTTAATCTAATATAATATGTTTAGTCCAAACAAAATTCATGACATTTACTGGATAAAAATTAATAAAATAAAGTTCAGAAATCTATTTTTAAAGATAAAATAACTCATATCTTAAGTTTAAATTTTAAATTTTCAGTATAATTATTTAATTTATTGATTTGATAGTGGCGAAGTAGATATAATATTATTATATATTTAAAATAAAATAATAATTTATATTTTTTAATCTTATCGTATTGTATATTAAGCAACAACCACGGGCGAGAACGAAAAATATTAATTGATTTTAGGATATAAATATCATATTTTTTTTACAATTCTCATATATGTCCAAAAATGTATAATATTAACTAGTATCAAGTTAACACTAGTTTCATAAGTCATACCTAATGAGTTTCCATCAAATCCCAATGTATTTAATTTTGTCGCTAATTTTGAAACCTAAAGGCTTATAGTTGGTTGCGAATTTAATTACTATCACTCGAAATTCATTATGAATTCATGAACCATGTCTTTTGTGATTGCATTCATCCATCTGTGTACTTAAGACATTCATGTTTCTTAATAAATACCAAAATGAATAAATTAATTGGTATTTATATTATAATTTAGTATGTACCTATAGGTACCTACTCAGATGAACAATACAAAATTCGTCCTCAATGTCGTTTTTATATGTTTCGTTTTTTTTTTTACACGGATTAAAATCGTTTGTATATTATTATATATAATATATATTTATTGTATATTATATTAAACATACTTGAATTCTCATGAGTTATATTTCTAATCTTAATAGTGATCATGAATACAACACGTCACAGCTAGTTGAATTGGTGCAGTACATAACTGGAAACCAATAATACGTTCGTTTTACCCGTGGGTCCTATACTCAAAATGCAAAAGCATAAACCTACAACGTACCGTACATAATATATACATAATATATAATATCATAAATGCGAACGCCATTTAAATACGTTCTATATACACTAATATTGTTGAGTACAGAACATAGTATATAGATATACCCAATGGTAATATTATATAAATACCGTTTGACATTTGTGTACGAAATGTTTCTAGAATAGAGCCCGTTCTCTGTAAACTCCAAAACAACGACGACTGTTTTTTAATTTTTTTTTTTTTTTTGTTTTTTTACACTTAAATACAAGTACTATCGAAATTAGTGCAATAACAATACCTTCTTGTCCAACCATACTAGAAATTAGGAGTGATTATTTAATAATTACACTAATAATATTCAACTAGATAATAAAATAGACGTCAAAAAATAACCATATTTTATTACTAATACTGTGTAATATAATAATGTAGTGGTGTTGTATAAATAATGAAACTTGCATAACTGCCAAAATATATCGGCTTTTTTTTTTATTATTATTCAGTAACCACTTAGCTAATGAGATTATATTATTTTACGTCTTGGCAATCAGTACAATATGTATAATACGGTATAATATTATGATACACAAATTCACGATTTCTAAGCCAATGTATATTTTCCGTGTATATGTAAATAGTAACAATATATACTCTAAATTTTACATTCAATATAAAAGTCTGCAAATTTCTTCTTCACAATATATTTAATAAAAATTAGATCTAAATTTGAATATTCAATAAAATAATATGTGTAAAACAATAATAGAACTAATTAAATTTTTTAAGATTTTTAAACTTTTTCAATATAATTGTAACTGATCTATATTTAAAATAAAAATTTTGATATCAAAATAAAATTTCTGAAAAAAATAAGTTAAAATACAAAATTATTAATCAATATGTTTATTTCAAATTTTAAATAATATGGGTTAATATTTTAAACTATTAATTACAGAACTAATTTAGTGTAGTAACTAAAATGATAAGCCACACTATAAATAAATATATTGTAGTAATGTTTATGTTATATATTGTCATATTTATCGTCAAATTATACGAAAAGAATGTCTCTAGTATCCCTTAAGGCTTAGCCATTACAATACTACTGCAGTGATAGGTAAACAACGGTGAATGTTTAAATAATGTTCTTGAAATATGAGAATTTGGAACCCGACACTTATCTAATATATATATAACGCATTAAATTATAAAACATAAAAATATACCTAATGTACGTGTTATTATGGTAGTTGATATTATGTATGTTTCAATAAAATAGCACAAATTGAATTCAATTAAACAAAGTGTAGCCCGATATAAGTACACATGTTATCTAATCCCAGACGGGCATGTGTATTTTGCAGAATAACAATACAATATTTATTAGGTACGAAACTAATGATAAGTGAAGATTTATATTAATTATTAATAATAATTTTAAATTTGTGATAAAGATAATATACTATCTTGTTTATTATATTATAGTGTTTAAAAGTCACGTATTCGTTTGTAGTTTATGGATTAGAAAAACATAAAGTATTAAAACAATGTAAACTTTTTTAATTTAAATTAACAACAAAGGTATTTAGTAAAAAATAATTAGACTCAATCGTCAATAGATATATTAGAAACACGATTAATAATATTTGTGAAAAACAATCGAACATCGACATGAGGCTGCTTGTCAAAAATGTATCAGAAAAGTGCAAAAAACCCGACAGTAGAAAGCAACAAAACATTTAAGTTAACAGTGTTCATAATATGCAATACATGTAAAAAAAAATAAATATAAATCAAATATAATAATATTTCAAAAAAAAACTATAAATTCAAAAACGCATTCAATTCCTTAAAAATTCAGCTATGGAAGTATAACATTACAAATGTATATGTAATATTATTTGTAGTATGTAAATATGTAAAATTGGTTTTTAAACAAAAATTTCAAGTTTTTCATAATCTTCCGATTAATTAAAAAAATATTGGGAATTACTTTTGTCTCCTTAAAATACAAACTATATACAATTTAAGGTTGCATACGAACTGAGTTCTAATAAAACCTTTTAGGACAAATTATGTCCCTGCAGGTTGTTTTAAGGTAAATACTAATTGAGTCCCATGGAATTTTATAATGGTAATATTTACCTGCGTAATACATAATACATACATGCTTAAAAAAATGAAATTATAATTATATATTTTCATATCAAATCAAATTAAAAAAAAAAAAAAATTTAAAACTATGTTTTTTACGATTTATGCTATTGATAAATTAATTATGACAAGAAAACAATAAAATAATATTTTAGAATATTTATGATACTTTAATATATTTATTATTTTTATTATTGTATAATAGTAATTGAATAGTAAAAAATAAAATATTGTTGAAATAAAATGTATGTTTATTTAGATACCTATTTATTAAAATGCATAATTTCGTTTATAAACACAATTTTAAATTTGGTGTTATTTAATCTAGAACACCACTTAAATATTAAAACAAGTTTTCGATTGTATTATATTTACTTATAAACCCTACGAATACCTTTGTTCACGGCTCTAGTTCTTTTTCAGAAAACCACAAATAAATGTATATTTTAAATAAGTTAGGTACATAAATCTCTTCTAATAGGGACAGTTGCACCATTTTTCATAGCATCGCGCATATTATCCTTCTTGATTACTATACAATGTGGAAATTTCAATAGCGTACTCAAAAAATACTGGAAAATAATGATTTACTAGAAAGATCAACACAGTGCTTCTTTAAAAATTTTTTGAAAAATTAAAAGATTTTCATACATACCATTTTGTTTCAATCAAAGCGTTTAATGGACTATCCGACGAGTTTATGCTGCACTGCGCTGTTAGATTAATCATGATGAAGGTTCAGCGTTCAGTTTATTCAGCTAATCTGATGATTATTTGAAATGCTATTAGTATCAAGCAAACCACAAAAAAACGATATTATTCATTTGTTCATGGAATTTTTTTATTGATATTACGTATATACTTTTACAGGATTATAATAAAATGTGTTCACGCTTTACTCCTATAAAATGACTGAGTGTAGCTCCATTGCCACAAATTCTTCATTTTAAATCCCCAACAAACTAAAGTGGCGTGTTTTTTGTCTAACCTACAAACCTTTTAAATTTTTCGGGAGAATTCAAAATGACCAACGACCATTAGATTATATTAAGTCCCTGGAGCTCAATAAAAGGTTACGATTTATTCCGACGTAACGTCGTGCATCTCGTTTAGTTTTTCGGGCAACCATCTGTAACCGCATTTCAGCCAGATTTTTTTGCACGTTGACCATCCGTTGGTTGTAGCCGGTCGTCAGTGCTGCTGGCCCGACAGCAAAGATTACTGAAGAGTCAAAGAGATTACGGTTATCCACTTCAACCACAGCGGCTGATTTCCGATTTTCAGGCACAACCTTTACAAACAGTCCCGTGTCGGCGTTTGAGTTTTTCACGTAATCCACCGTAACTATACAACAATCGGATAAAAAAAAGATTATTTTAAAACAACAACAATATTTAAATGTCTCTACATAAATACATTTTAATAGTCAATCGTCAATACTTGTTGGTAAACATAATATCAACACTGTAATGATTAATCGGTATTAGATAAATTTAATATTAACTCATCTCAGAGTTGAACGAGTGAAATTATTTTATAATAGACAACTGAGTCAGTTATAAAACTAAATTAGTTATCGTCTACAAATTTAAAAATATCTGCTATAGTTTATCTATACATTGCATCAAAAAAATAAATACTTAGATAAATATACTGCATATTTTATAAATACATTGATCAAACTTATGAGAGGAAGGGGGTGTCTTATAATGTGTTTAACGTGATCTATTTTGTGGAAATTGAACGTGATTTTGTCACTATTAGAGTATTTAAAACTGTTAACTTACTTTAATTTTCTTTCTATTTATTTATAATAAAATTATTGTTTTTAAGTAAAAAAAACTTAAAAACGTAATAAAAGTTCTTCATACTTAAATTAAAAAATATCAAAAAAACATAATGACGAATTTTTTTTTTATAAGTGTTTGGAGTTAATTCGTCATAAATCATCGATATTTACACATTATTTTGTACGGTAAGTATTCATAAAATGTGTAACTTTACTTCTGAAGATTGAAAATTTAATAAAAGATTTTTCATTATTTTTTATGAGTTATAGAGTATTTTGAGAAAATTGGATATTAAAACTTATTACAATTTATTTTCCATAATAATGTTTGTTGAAAAATATTAATGGTAAAAATTAAAAATATTCTACTATTACTTTATTATATAATTTTCTACGTTTAAACATTTTAAGCTATTTTTAAGTAAATTAAAAATTTTAGAATTTCTTTAGTATATATTTTTTTTTTTTTTTTTTATGATAAGATAACACTTTAAAGGCTAAATCAAAAAGTTGAAAATGTAACACAAGACCCCCAAGTAAGTTGTTTTCATAGCAATTTAAAAATATTAAAAATACCTTTACTATACAATATACATTGTTTAATTAAGATTCTTGATGAAACTGAGTATTTAAATGAAAAATAATAATTTTAGTTATTTTGTTTAGGTATATTATTTATGAAAATTTGACATTTATACGTATGTCTATATACTCGTATATATCACTTGCCTATTTATATTGCTTTATAGTAAGTTGATGATGAACTTTTAAGTTAATAATTAAAAACATTAAACTATTAATAATATAATCAATACAATATTTTTGAAAAAAATAATTGTAACTACTTACCGGCTACTACCATTACTCTACATTACTAATTAATTTATCATTGAAATTTAATTTTGACTCATCTATTAGAGTGATATATACTTAATGTCGAGACACCTATACTCAACATTTATTCTTTACAACAGAGAATTTTTCCTATTTTTTTTTTTTTTTATCTTGTGTATTTTAAAGTTTTTATTGGACTTTGTAGGGAATTAATTTACTATTTTTACTAAATTTCATATTATATTAATTTTTAAGTTACCAATAAAAGATAAAAAAACGGTAACATTCTCATTAGCCACTATAAATATATTAAAGAATATAGCCATATTAAAAATAAGTATCTACACCCTAATATACTTAAAAAAAAAAAAAAAGTATTGAACCAATTATACCGTATATACTAACAAAAATCAGTATTAATAACATATATAGGTACTCAAATAATTTACAACATTAAGTATAAAAACGATGTACCTTTCACAATATCATTAAGGAGCATAGGAACTAAATTGGCAATAACGCTCGTCGACGGATTCAATCCGGGAGTGGAATTAATCTCGATCAAATATGGAATAAAGTTTTCGGTTATCAAGAAATCGGCTCCGAACAATTGAAAAGTTTTGTCACGATACTTCATAGTGTCCGTAGCGGCCTGTAATACAGCGTATATACTTTCACTCATTCCGGGAAATATCAATTCATCCCATACGTATTCTTGACCAATTTTTCTGAAACATGAAATCGTAAGAGTTCGGCTACAGAGAAATACTAATAAAAAAAAAAAACCGAAAAATTCATAACATTTGATAAAATTCTTCCTTTATAATTATTATTAAAAGGTTTCACGATTTATAAATTCTGAGGAACATGTTATAGGCAACTCCATTTGCATTTGGCTGTTGACTACATCGTTATATTCGTTAAAAATTATCATTAATGCAAGAATATAAGTATAGTAACGTTTTATTTTTTTTTTAATTGATTAAATATTTTAGCTTAAGTTTTTTTTAGTAACTAAACCACATTTATTAGTTATTACATTTCAAAATATTGTAATAAAAAATATGACTCCATCAATTCCTCAAACAGGTTATGATGAAGAATTAGCGATTTTTTTTCTTAATGAAAATCGAGATAATTGTTACAAGTTTGCTACGTACTGCATACTACTAATATACTGTTGGAATTGAAATGTGTAATTTTTGACTAAAATTAAGGTATTTGTGATAACTCTTTAATCTGTGTGATATCGTGTTTTATACCTCAAATGGCTTTGTAGTTCTTTGTAATTCCACATACATTCTTCCGGTACTTGTGGATTTCTAATTTTTCGATATTTAATTTGCAGTCTCACATTGCTAAGGTGAATAGATTCGTCCATTTTTTTCATAGAGAAGCTGTTAGCACAAAACCGTACATAACCTTCTCTGTAAAAAAAAAAAACTGGTTATCGAACCATTTCTTATAATAGTCGATGAGCACGTAACACGTGTTTCACTAATCGTGCTCTATTATAGTCGAAAACCGAATAATCAATTGGATTATAATATAATATAATAATGTAACTCGCATACTATCTAAACACCATGAAACACGTACCCTAACTTGTATACTAACTTGTACATCCACACAACAACTGGGTTCATATTGGTCACTAAAAACCATTGTCTCAAGTCAATCTTACATGTATACACCAAGAGAGGTCTTTCTAAAAATTATTTCAGTAGTTTTATATTATTATTTTTTTAAATATAATGCATTTTTTATACCTATATATTTTTGTAAAATATAATTATTTCTAACGACATTTGCTACAATATTTTTTTGTTTTATATCATGTAAGTCTCTAGATAACATAATTCCATGACCAGAACAATTTGACGTGGGTTTTATAATCCACGTATTAGTAATCCCGTCTATAAAGTGTTGTGGACAATATTTTTTCACTTCTCCGAATAAATATTTACATTTGGCATAAACATCTAACTACAACATAACAAAATACTTATATTATGATTATTACGACTTCGCTGGCAATAATTGGTGAAGAGAGTGCAAATATGCCTGCAAATTTTTTGTACTCAAAAGTGTGTAGAAAAATGTCTTTGTCTTGTTATAAATTACCTCAATATAAATAAAGGTTTTAGAAATCTGGTCTTTATTACTTAATTAATGATATAAAACAGTATGGAGAAACATAAATTGAGTATCAATGATGTTAATATCGTTTAGATTCAATTCATTAATTGATTGCTAATTATTTAAATGTTGTTGATTACCGAATCCTTATGAACTATGATAAATACACTAATATCAGGAAATTTAACATAACATTGGTATTTATATCAAACCCCAGTGTAATTTGATAATAGTTATCCTTAAAACTCATAAAAATAGATATGATATATTTTTATTTTATTTTTATTAATGTTCGAGTAAAATGGATCTAATATTAAATTTACGAATCTTGTGATTAAGAAGGAAAAACATATATTAAAGGCATGAACTCGGCATATAATAATAACTTTTAGCCAAGTCTTAGAACAACACCACGTACGAATATAATTAATAATATTAATTTTTTAGTTATAGAAGTATTATTATTAAAAAAAATAATTTTATGACATTATATGATATGTAATATTATTATAAATCATAAGTGTAAAGTTAAATGATTTTAAGATTACTTAATTTAAAGAGAACAACTAGGTGTTACCTATATGATTCTAAAACTTGACCTAATTGTTGTTGTTTTTTTATTATACAAGGAATAATTTGAAATATAATATTGGTCCCAGAGCAATCTAATCTCTGTCTTTATGTGTATTCTCAGTTATTTTGGACACCAAGGCCCAAGAGACTTTACGTTTTACTTCAAACTTTGATTTACTTCTAATTCATATATATACTCGTGGTCAAATTTGGCATTGCTATCAAAAATCAGTTTTGAGTAATAAATCATAAATTTGTTCCATACTTCTTTTTGGTTCTTAAATTGCCACATATCTGTTTCTGAATTATTAGTTTTATGTTTATTCAAAAATTTGAATATACATAGTTCCACGAAATCGATAAGTGTGTATGGTATCTGGTGTGAAAAATAATATCATAACTTGTGTTACTATAAACAGTTACTATAAAATTAAAACTTACATTGCCATTTTTTGTGAAAATCATCTTATTATTCTCAATAGCTAGTACAATAATCTTTAGTGTACTTATTAATGCTGTTGTAATGTAATCATCCACAAATGCTTCAATATCTGCTTCAGATCGAATATAATGACATCTCGGAAACATCAAATTTGTCACAGAATTTTTATAATATTCCAAACATTGTGCCAACCCGTCCTGTATTTAAAAATAAATATTTAAACCATGTGGCAAGGTATTTATGTACTTAATTAATCTGCTTAATAACTCATAATCATTATGAAATTATATTATATTCAAGTACATAAAATATAATTAATTGGTCAACAGTTTAAAATAGGTGTACCTATAATTTGAGTTTTGAAGGAATGTAGTAAGTTGTAATCCGAACAAAATTGGATAGTAAACAAAAGACAACGGTTTTAGTTATTTTGTAGTAATTCAAAAAATTTTCATAGAGACTTGAAACTTATTATTAATTTAATTAATATATATATATTATTTATTTAATTTTTAAAATATTTTGTTTAATTTTAAGATATTTATTACACTGTTTTACAATATCTTTTAAATCGACTTAAAAGTTAATAACATCTAGTAATACAGTAATATGAAATAATATTATAATAATATTAATAACTATTATATAATAAACAATTTACCTTTAACAAACATTATTTCAATATACCGAATTTAATAGAAAAAAATGAAAACCAATAGAACCAAAAATATACAGTAAAATATTTCTACATTTTTAGGTATCTATATAGGTAACTGACCGTCGTCTCCATTCATAATATTTTTTCACGTGCAATTTATCATTTTCAAATTTAACAAATCCATTACAGTGAATTCATACTCAATGATGATGTATACTCGACACCTATTGTACAGTAAAGTGAACTCTCTGGTTTTCATAAAAGTAGAATTGATATACGATCTGTGGATCTTTACTATTTTAATAATTTATAACACATAACATAGTTTAGTCTATCCAAAAGTTTAACAAATCATCAATATCGAACATTGTGAAAATAATATAATTTATCGATATTACTATCCAAATTAGTTAATAAATAAATAGACGACGATAGTATTGCCTATATTTGGGCGTTTGTATTAAACGACAGATTCAATAGTTTGAAAGAATTAGCCAGTTTGAAACCATCAATTTATTAAAAAATAATAATACGAATATATCATATAAAGTAAGTTTAAAATTTGATTTTAGCATGTAAAGAAGTTTATTTTTAATCTTGAGTTAACATTCAAAGTTAAGTTGTTTTATCTTAATGGTTAAAATAAATAAAATTAGCATAAAATACAAACATAAAAATACCTACCTAAATAATTTATTATTAAAATATTTGTCAGTTGCCTCCTAACCAATCCATTAAATAAGTGATTTTTAATGTTAAAAATTAAATTAACAAAAGTTAAAAAGAGAGTGAATTTATATTGAAAATAACTTTTCATGCGAGAAACTTATTTTGAAAATGTTTATTGTTTTATTATAATATTCAAATGTTTCATTTCATTGTAATTTATTTATTTATATTTGTGATCAAAAATGTCTTATCCTAAAAATGTTTTCAAGAAATAAGTAATAGTTTTCAAAAATTAAAAACAAATAAAATAGAGAAACTAGTGTTACTTAATATTATTTTAATAAATTTTTTTTTAAACCTGCTTAGATTAAGTAAAATATGGGTTAATTACTTTGGTACAAAATACATGTTTAAGCATCTGACTGACGGATGTAAATTTACTTAAAGTTGGCCAATTAATTAACTGTTTTCTAGTAACGAAAATAAAATCAGATTTTTTATTTTTAAGAATAGTCCACGATTGCATGTTTTTCAGACGCTCCATAACAACATCATTTTTATTAATTGACGATATTAAAGGAGGTGATTCAATCCAATTAACCATATATGCTTAAAATATAAATTTTGCATAAAATATAAATTATTAAGATAACAGGATGAGGTATTAAATTAATCTAGATCATGCAAATGTAGTTAAAATATTTACGTGCTGATTTTAAATAATGTAAATAATTTATTGGTGGTCTGCTCGGATCTCGTTTTTCTACCCAACCGCGGTTTTTCAGTTCTAGAGAGATTATTGGAAAATATCCCAATACCGAAAATACTTTTTGATCCTGTAAAATCAAAAACAATCTGAACAGTAAATACTTATTTAGTACCTACCTAAATAACAAATGTGCACTTTAATACAATTACATTAATTAATCGTATTAAATATATTTCGTGTATTTTTATGAAAATTTAATTAATTCTAATTCTAAAGTACCTTTATGGCTTTCAAAGTTTGATTAGTAACACTCGTCAACGATTCAAAATCGATTGTTAGGTTTAATGAATTTAAATTTAATAAATTATAATTGCACTCTTTTATCAATGCATTATATAGTTCTTGAATATAGTTTTTAAAATTTAATTGATATCTAGTGTTGAAGCTATTTATTTTTGATAATTCTGGGAGTTGATACTCTTCTTTTAATTCCCGAATTTGATCAAAACCATATTGTTTATCATTTGTTTTAGTATTATTTGTTGTTGAACATTGTTTTACCTCATCATCAATAGCGATTTGAATAGGTTTATTAAGTGTATATGATTTAGTTCTATCTTTTTGATTTAAAATTTTTTTTTTTTCATACCAACGTAACAACATCTTTCTTTTGTATGTGTTATTGTTAGAATGCATCATGTATTCGTTGTTTTTCTTGGTTGTGTTGATTTGAAATTCTTACAATTTTTTCTTAAATTTTGTAAAAAATGTAATATTTATCTCTAAAGTATAAATTTAATATTCAAATTCTGATTTAGATGTTTATATCCATGGTAATAAAAATGGACATTTTCAATACATTATAACTGATATTTTATCATACTTTATACCATGTACCTATTATTTTTTGAGTAAAAACGTATGCCATTAATGTAAGTACCTATACTTGTGAATAACAACTATTGACATAAATTTCATTTTTTACAAACAATAGTATTTATGTTTGTTATTGCCATTTTATATTTAACAATAAACTTTTAAAAAATCGTATTTTTTTCAATTATTTGGATAAGCCACTTAATCTGAGTAAATATAAGCTCAATATGATTTTATTTTAATTATTTTTAATAAATTCAATAGTTTTTAAATGTTATGCTCTTTCTTATAAAGAAACAATAATATTCATTTTTATTGAAATTTTAAACTGTGTTGTTATATTGTGTATTTAGCTTAGTTTTACATTATAACAAGATCAATAAATAATAATAATGACAGTAAGCACTGATACACTAACTATTAACAATTATATTTAAATATCTCAGAATGAGAAATGTTATAAAATGTTAATTATAACAATATAATATGTTACATCGAAGAAGGAGTGGCAAAGTTACGATATATCAATGACAAAATCCGGTAATATATATTTTACAAGAGCACATAGAAGAGTGAATTATTACTCACTATTGCAAGTGATGAATATTTTATTCTAATACTGATATTATAATGTAATTAAGTATGTTCAAAGTTCACATAACTCGTATGTATAAAACGTTATTACCGAATAATATAATCAAGTTGTGCATATTTTACATCTAAATCAGAGATTAAGAAAAGTATGATCTTGTTAATAATACTTAAAATGTATTTATCGATCATTTTAATAACAAACTTGTAAAAATAAAAATAAAATAAAGAATAGAATAGAATATTATAGAATAAATCTATATCCCAAATATCCATGTACCTAAGTACTTATAAGTTTAACATAGGAAAAAATCTTATCTGGAAAATTTGAATAAATTACATTTACAATTTATGATTTATGAATAACGAATATAAATTTATAGTCTATTGATCATTGATTCATGTAAACTATAAACAAACAGAAATAATATTTTACTAACAATATCAATATTCAATACATAATAATGTGTCACGTCATGACGTGCGTACGGGTAATTATTGAATTTGAATAGAAAATTTGTGAAATGCAATAATAATGTAATACTCGTATAATTTCAAAACTAAACACATATTCAATAAATACATAATTTTGAATTTTGAATTGACCGTAAAATAAAAATAATAATATGAAATTACTTGGTAATAATTTCTAATTTAAAATATATTATAAATAGTACCTCTATAACAAAATACACAGTAATAATGTGTCAACATTATAATATTATACGTCGTTACCAACATCATATATATATTATTTATGATGTATAAAAACATTTAAAACTAAATCAATATGTCCTATGAAATGTGAACAACATTACTCAACTTCTTGGGGAAAGTAATTCTTCTCACGTCTTGAAAAAATAAAAATAACATGAAGAGATTTACATATACCAAAGTACCAAACTAAAAATAAATTTACGTGAAACTTTTGGTGAGTTATATTGTAGGTAATGTAAAGAATCTTGCTACAGACGACCATATATTTTAAAAATCTTTCTACGTGAATGAGAACCAAAATTATAAATGTTCATCGTTTAAAGACGGTAAAGAGAAACTATAAAATAAACCTTTGACGTTGGTTTTGCGGTCTGTTCGCTAATTTGTCGTTATTGTTTTAGTTGGTACAAAGTTCGAAAACCTTTTGTTCAACATAACCATGGCTCACGACACAAAATAAAATATTAAAACGTTCCAAAACTATATAGAATAAGATGAATATCTGCTACCTTGTGCCTTTTACATTGTTACCCCGCTTAAAACAAACTACTGTCCTATAAACTAAGACTATTGAATTATTGTGGTTTTTCAATTAAGTTCGTAATGTTTGAAACATGCAAAATAGTTAATTTTGTTATCTATACGTGTAGCTAAATAATCAAATTAAACTTATTTATTCATTCGAGCTAGTTTTACAAGCGTGTTTATTTTGGTTGTATAAATTTGAACCGTATGTACATTTTACATTGTTAATAAACTATGAAAAAAATAATATTAATCAAAATATCCAAAAACTGTCACAAAATATTTAAAAAAAACAAAACATTTTTTTTTAAATTCTCGAACACGCTAATCATAAATTTTGAATTATATTATTTAAACTAACTTCCATTGCAGTGTTTATATATATATATATTTATGTACCTATATAACTATTATTATTAGTTTAAATAACATAAAAAATAAAATAAACTACTGGGTATTAAATATTTAATATCATGAGAACCTACTTAGTTCGATAAAACATAAAAATATTTAACTTTTCAATATTTTGTTTAACCCTAGTACTATTTCATAATTGTTAGCACAAATATATAATATTATAGATTATATATTATACAAGTATCAAATTGTACGTAACTTTTAGCATTTCTTAAATATCTAAATATAACTTTTATTTAAAAACAATAATACAACAGAACTATGTTGATTTAGAAAAAAAAATAATATAAATAATATTAAAGTATGCTTTTTAAACTAAGCTTTCAGATTTATTTATTTTTGGAAAGAAACATGAATAAAAGTAATTGTCAATAATTACTTTACTGAGCTCACAAATTTGAATATTAATTACATTTGAAGAAAGAATTAATAACAATAAGTATATAATATATATCAACTTGAAACTACCGTAGAATAAATTTAATTCAATCACTTCATTATATTTAAATATATTAATTTATTATTTTAAACAAGATCTAAAAAAATTCAAAATAACTAGGTATCTTTTAATTTATATACCTTTATTATAGGTTTACTGGTAAATAAAAAATAATTTTATGTATGTTATAATAGTAAAGTGATAAAAATGTAATATTTAGATATTTATTCTCGTAGCGATCCACAATGTCATATAGATTCAAAAAAATATCATCATTGTTTTAATTGTAAATAGACTTAAAGTATTATCACAATCCAGTACTCCAATAGAAGTTTCCACTGACTATATTAACGTGATTCATTCTAATTAACGATGTAATAGAGTAGGTAGGTGTACAAGGTTACAAAACATAATATAGTACCTATATTGTATATTATTGCTTTGAATGTTCTGATTTATAAACTATTAATAAATTGTATGTACCAAAAAATGACAAAAAAATATGTTCAGTACTAAGGCAGATACTTACATATTACTCCACGATTTGCAGCCGTAGACGTACCATAATTTAATTACTAATCTAAGTCTATTACATAACTGAAATAGCAAACACCGATAGATGGTAAAGCTAGGCTAACCACAGCTAGCTGGATTGTATAGATTTGCGTCTGTACAAGTACGATAGTGATTCTAAAATCCGTATTTATGAAAGCAACGCCTTACGTATTACTTTTATCCATTATCAACTTACAGTCACTTAAGTTTAAACAGAGTTGCAAGGCACCTGAAAAATATTCGGCATATGTATTTACATCGTAACGTTTGAATGATAATTGAAATGTTCAAATAGTGTACTTACTTCTAAATAATTACGTTGATTGATTTTACACAGTGCACACTACACAACTAACAATAATATTATAATGTGGGAATGTGGCTGAAATTGTAGGAGAAAAATAATACAGTTAAATACAAAAGGAACGAGGTGGCAGCGATCTTACCTTTCAACAGCAACATGAATGCCGCAGTAGCTTCAATACCATTGTTTTGATCTATTGGTATTATAGTCTATATTTAAAATAATAACTAAAACAATACACCTATATGAATGAAACAATAGATTTGTAAATGTTTCTTTTTTCGATAACACCACATTCGTTTAGAATGAGTAATCGACAAAATTATTGTTGTATTAATAATATTAATAAATTAAAATAATGTAAGTATTGCTTTATCAACAAAAGTAAACAAATCTATAATAATTATTACTCCAATTATTTTTTCACATTTTAATTTTTAAATGTTGATTGCTTATACTATATGTATTTTTTAAATTATATTAAAATTTTATTTTTCACATTTAACAGTAATTTATATTTTATTAATTCTAATAAGAATTATAACAATTTTTCCAATTTTTGGCTATGCTTATTTTTTTTTTTGTAAAATTGTGTAGATATATTTGGTATTTTTTTCATTCAAGGTTTGTTCTAATGAAGATAGAGTGTTGAAGATTTTACGTAGTTTTTTGTATTTAGGGCAGTTAATCACTATTTATTTTATTTGAGTTTAAGGATTTCTTTACACACGTTACATGCTGGTCTCGGTTCATTGCCGATAATTGATAGGTTAGATGGGAATGATTTATTTGAGTGTTATTTTGAGTTCTCACTCAAATGGTTATCACTTATTCACCTCCTCTGTTGTAGACCAACAATTATAATTGATATATTTATTTTTTAAATATTTACTAAATATTAAATCATTAAATCATAATATATAACATGTATAATAACAAGAGCAGGGAATGCTTAAAACTATTTTTGTCTACTAAAAATAATTTAATTAAAATTAAAATCAATTTATAAAATAAGTAGTCTTACTTTGAAAATTAAAAAAAAGGTTTGATTCACAAAATGATCTAATAAAAACAATCTATTACAAATTACAATAATGTCTAAAAAGTTAAATTAATAAGTTAGAATCATTACATTTTTTGATTTTTAGACATAAATTGTAATGATGATTCATTGTACTAACACTATTTTACTAAAGGTACATATAATCTAAAATGTATTACTTTTAAAATTCAAAAAAATCTGACCTGGGAAATTATTATTTGCAAAGAACA